AAACTTAATATTATTTTTGCATATACAGGCATATCTTATTTTACTGCACTTTATTGGATTTAGAAGACATTGTGTGTGTATGCATGTTTAACACATTAAAGTTTTGTGGCAATCGATGTCGAGCAAGTTATTGGTGCCATTTTTCCAATAGCATGTGCTCACTTTGCATCTCTGTGTCACACTTGGGTAATTCTCGTAATATTTCAAGCTTTTATCACATTTCTTATGGTGATCTGTGATCAGTGATCTTTTGATGTTTCTACTGTAATTGTTTTGGGGTTCCATGGACTGTACCCAAGATAGCAAGCTTAATGGATAAATGTTGTGTGTTGTGACTGCATTACTGACCAGCTGCTACCCCATCTCGCTCCCTCTTCTTGAGCTCCCCCCATTCCTTGAGACACAACAACATTGAAATTAGGCCAGTTGGTAACCCTGCAATAACCCCTAAGTGTTCAAGCGAAAGGAAAAGTCATATATCTTTCACTTCAAATCAAAAGCTATAAATGATTATGCTTAGCGAGTCAGGCATGTCAAAAACTGACACGGGCTGGAAGCTAGGCCTCTTGAGCCAGTTAGCCAAGTTGTGAAAGCAAAGGAAAAATTCCAGAAGGAAATTAAAATGTTATTCCAGTTAATATACAAATGATAAGAAAGCCAAACAGCCTTACCGCTGATTTGGAGAAAGTTTGAGTGGTCTGGGTGGAAGATCAAGCCAGTTACCGTATTCCCTAAAGCTAAAGCCTAACCCACAGCAAGGGCCTAACTCTTCAATTCTATGAAGGCTGAGAGAGGTAAGAAAGCTGCAGAAGCTTAGAGAAGGTTGGTTCATGAGGCTTAAGGAAAGAAGCTGTCTCCATAACATATAAGTACAAGTTGTAGCAGCAAGTGCTGATGTAGAAACTACAGCAAGTGATCCAGAAGATCTGGCTAAGATCACTGGTGAAGGCAGCCATATTAAACTACAGATTTTCAATGTAGACAACACAGCCTCCTATTGAAAGAAGATGTCATCTACGACTTTCCAAGCTAGAGAGGAGAAGTCAATGCCTAGCTTTAAAGCTTCAAAGGACAGACTGACTCTTGTTAGGGGCTAATGGAGCCAGTAACTTTACATTGAAGCCAAGGCTCATATACCATTCTGAAAATCCTAGGGCTCTTAAAGAATTATGCTAAATCTGCTTGTGCTGCATAAATGTAACAACAAAGCCTGGATTTTTACAGCATGGCTTACTGAATGTTGAGTCCACTGTTGAGGTCTACTGCTCAGAAAAAAAGATTCTTTGAGAAATATTACTGCTCATTGACAATGCACCTGGTCACCCTAGAGCTCTGATGAGATGTATAAGGAGATGGGTGTTGTTTTCCTGCCTGCTAACACAAAACGCATTCTTCAGCCCATAGATCAAGGAGTCATTTTGACTTCTAAGTTTTATCATTTAAGAAATACATTTCATAAGACTATAGCTTCATAGCTAGTGATTCCTCTTGTGAATCTGGGCAAAGTAAATTAAAAAACCTCTGGAGAGGATTTATTCTAGATGCCATTATGAACATTTGTGATTCATGATAAGTCAAAAATCAACACGAACAGGAATGTGGAAGTAGTTGATTCAGTCCTCATCAATGACTTAGAGGGATTCAAGACTTCCATGGAGGAAGGAATTGCAGAAGTGGTGGAAACAGCAGGAGAATTAGAATTAGAAGTGAAGCCTGATGATGTGACTGAATTCCTGCAAGCTCATGATAAAACTTGAATGAATGAGGAATTACTTCTTATGGATGAGCAAAAAAAAAAATGATTCTTGAAATGGAATATATTCCCAGTGAAGATGCTGTCAACACTGTTGAAATGACAATGAAAGATTCAGAAGTTTATATAAGCTTAGTTGATAAAGAGCATCAGAAGACTGGCTGCAATTTAGAAAGAAGTTCTACGGGTGGGTAAAATGTTATCAAACAGCATCACGTGCTACAGGGAAATCTTTTATGAAAGAAGAGTCCACTTGTGGCAAATTTCATTGTTGCTTATTTTAGGAAATTTCCACAGTCAGTCCAACCTTCAGCAACTACCACCCTGATCAGTTACCAGCCATCAACACAGAGGCAAGACCCTCCACCAGCCAAAAGGCTCAGATGGACTGTTAGTACTTGTTGGCAATAAAGTGCTTTTTAATTAAGATATGTACTTTTTTTAGACAATGCTATTACACAGTTGAGTATAGTGTAAACACAACTTTTAAATGTAATAGGAAAAGAAAAAAATTGTGTGGCTTGCTTTATTGTGATATTTACTTTATTGAGGTGGTCTGGAACTGAACCCACAATATCTCTGAGGTACACCTGTATTAAGAGAAGTCCATTCACAGGATGTCTTCCCTCAATTTGTGGTATCACAACTTAAAGGGCCACAATGATCAGTTGGAGACATGGCTGAGAAAGCTAGAGGTGTCTGATTTGGAGGGTTAAGATGCTAGCTGGTTCGTGACAGTGTTGAGAGGAACACTGGGGCTAGAGAGTGAAAATCACAGCGTTATCATTAGAGCCTTTCTGCTCAACCAGAAGGGTTCCAGATCTAAACAGCACCATAAGAGACTACTGGACTTTGTAAAAGAAGAACTCTGCCTTCAGATTGTGTTGCAGAAGAAGTAGTGATCACTCAGAGCATTTAAGGAGAGTTGGTTAAATTACTAATGTGGGAACAACAGTCAGCCAGAAGTGTAAAAGAGATAACAGCTGCAATCACCCGGTTGTTAAGAACAAATTTTAAAAAATACATGTAAGTATGCAGAAAACTGCATAGCAGTGACTCGCTCTCTGTGAGGTATGACATGCAAAGGGCTCCCCTACTTAGAAAACACTAGACAGTAACATATAAAGTCCATTCTGACCCTCAGAGTCTATGATTTCATTGTATTAATAAGCCAAGCTAATTAATTCTGCTTTAGCACAGCATGCAAGCTTTAGATTGTTTTGAATGATACTGCATACATGGTATCTCCTCTGCTCTCATGGTATATGTAAGAAAAAATCCTATAATGCCATGGAGTTAAATCCTTTAATAGTACCTGATTAAAAATTTTCCTCCCCTTCACTGTTCCTCAGTTGGGTAAGAGGAATAGAGGTATCTGTGTGAAAATGAGGCTAATATGTATTCCAGAAAGCTCAAAGAGAATAGGAATAACTCAAAATATGCGATGATTCAGTACAGAAAGCCATTTTTTAAAAACAGAAATGCTCCTATAAGAAGTGAGTAATATGGCCTAATCATACTTCCTGCTGTGATCTGTACTATCTACTGGTAGGATGTTATATGATTATTCAATTTCCATGTCTTTACACTCATTCTTTGCCATAATAATAAAGAAACGGACTTAAAAACAGAGCATAAGAAACAGAAAAAAACCTCTCATTGAGAAGCTCAGAATCGTAGAGCAGAATCTAGAATAAGTAGAAAAAGGAGTCTGGGCGCAGTGGCTCACACCTGTAATCCCAGAACTTTGAAAGGCCAAGGTGGAAGGTCAACTTGAGCCCAGGAGTTCAAGACCAGGCTGGCCAACAGAGTGAGACCCCGCCTCTAATTAAGTAGGAAAGGGAAAAGAATAGGAAGCAGGGAGGGAGCATGGGCTAAATGGAAAAGGATGCTAATTTCAATTATTTTGACACCTAAGATGGGAGGCAGTTTACAGGGTACAGTTCTTTTCACATGTCTGCGACGGGAACTGTTACATGTGAAGTTTCCAGTCAGTGGCAGACACTGGACGGGACTTGGCTGCTGTGAGGCATGCTTTACCGGGAATGCGTGAATGAGTTTCCCTGCTCTGTCAGCTTCTTTGGGCTTCACACAGTCCACTCACCACTCTTTGAAAAAGAGATGGTGGAATTGTGGGGCCCTCCTATCTTCAGTCTCTTGCCAGGGCCTTCCACTGGGGGCATCCCGGAGGAACTGAAAGCCCAGGAGGCCAGAGGATGCCAGCTGAGGGACACAGAAGGCAGAGGATGGGGTGGGCAGGGGCTAAGTGCGTAGTCACCAGTTCATTTCCTAGACGGATGGGGGAACGGTGGCAAAGGCAGTTAATCAGTTGTATTATCAATTTCCTATTCTGTAAACTGTCAATACTAAAACTCCTCTCCTGATAGATAAAAAAAAGCCAGTGTGAATCAAATGGAGTTATGCCTGAATGTTTGTAAAAACTTCCCACAATGCTACGTATATGTGTATGTGTCATTTTTTATTCTTCAGTTGTTTACCTATTTGCTATTTAGGAGAGATTTTTGTTGTTGTTGTGTGTGTTTGTTTGTTTTTGAGACGGAGTCTCGTTCTGTCACCAGGCTGGAAGTGCAGTGGTGCGATCATCGGCTCACTGCAACCTTGCCCCTTGTTACATGGTGAGGCAAGCTATTCTCCTGCCTCAGCCTCCTATCTGGGACTACAGGCACACACCACCACACCCAGCTAATCTTTGTATTTTTAGTAGAGACGAGGTTTCACCATGTTGGGCAGGATGGTCTCAATCTCTTGCCCCCATGACCTGCCTACCTCAGCCTCCCAAAGTGCTGGGATTACTGGCATGAGCCACAGCACCTGCCCGGGAGACAGTTTTGAGGAGAGAAAAAAGCGTGATCTAAAGGAATGGATAAAATACTAACTTTAAGAGAGAGAATAATTTTGCTCAGTTTCTTCTTTGATGCGCCATGTGGACATTTTTAAAACTGATGGACTATATAATGATTACATGGTGATACTGATTATGAGAAAGACTACCAGATCACTGTGCTTCCAACATTTTAAAAGCTCAAATACTTCATTGGTTTCTCAAGTTCACTAAGACTTAAGGCTTTTTCAACAGAGAGAGAGAGGGAAGACATTCTGCCTAGAAGGAGGGAACTGGACTTGAGATGTACACAGGACGAATGAGTACGAAAGGCTCCCGAGGCAAGTGGCCGGCGCTTTACGGACTCCCACTGGCTCACAGATGAGAAGCCCTGCACAGCTGTACCTGTATGTGTCCTCCGGTGAGCCTTCAGGTGAGAACTTTTTGTGTACACTTTGTTGCATCCCTCAAAATCACATCTGTGGATACGCCGTTTTCTGGAGTCTGGGGATTCAGACCGTCTCTGGCGTCTTGTGCTCTCAATACTAAATGGTGAAATTGAACTGGAAAAAGAAAAAGTGGAGTTACATGGTGAGATGCACAGCACCCCATTTTGGCTCTAGTGGCATGGGAGCATTGTCTCAGGCACTACAGCTTCACAGACTCAAGGCCACCATGACCACAGGTCCTGCTACCACTTTCTTGGGCAGATCTCACTTTTTGAATCCTGAAAGGCAGGCAGCATGAGTTATGTCTGGTGAAATACTCCAAGCGAGAGAAAGGCAGGTTTAGAACAACAATAACAACAACTGAAAGTAAAAGACAGCAGTGGTCGGTGAGTATATCCTCATTATCAGAAGAAACAATCTCGTAGGGGTAAATTACCATCTCACAGTTTTGAATTTCTGAATATCCCGATGGAGAAAATCTTAAGAAGCCTTGCTATACACAAATGACAAAGTGACACATTTAATAAGTAACCAGAGGGTCTGCACTGCATGTGACAACATATGAACTCCGGTAAAATCACAAGGTACATTTCAAAACAAGTGAGGTCAAGCAGAAAGAAGTGACATCAGTAACAGGAATCATGACGAGCTATTTCTGTTTGGTGAAACGCACCTGACATTTAACTTTTCTAGTTGCAGTTTCTTTGTGGTGAGGAACAACGTGCACTGTCTTTAAAGATTAGCTGTACCACCATTATTAAAAAAAGTTGTAACTATGAAATGTGGCCCTGACTTGCATGTTGTTTAATCTGAATGCCCCAGTAGAAAAACAGGATTAGTCTGTAACGTCAGGTAATTGATTAACATGTACTTTAAAAAATCTTATTCTCTTTTGATTCAGACAAACAATATGACTCATCTTTTTTAGCTATCCATGACGTTCTTTAAAATTACAGCGAGATACGATTTAAAAAGCAGTCACTTGTATTTCTGCTCCACAAAATTTACCACAGTTAATATTTTGACATGTTTTCTTTCAGGTTGTTCACATTTTGATGCTTTTAAAAATTAGTTTTTTTTTTTTAGTAAATCACTTCTTTTAAAAGTTGAAAATTACCGATAAAAATCAATTCCCCCTTGTTTTCCACCATGATCCTGGTCCTTTCTCCTCCTTCCAGGAAAAAGTCTCTATCCTGAGTTTTCTTTACATCTTTCCAATTATTTTAAATTTTGTTTACCTATATATATCTACATTTACAGACATTGATTGTGTGTTTTTAAAGTCAGATGAATAATATCATGCTGTTTATATCATTCTGCAAATTGTTTTATTCCCATTTTTTTTTTTTTTTTTTTGAGACGGATTTTCACTCATGTTACCCAGGCTGGAGTGCAATGGCGCGGTCTCGGCTCACCGCAACCTCCGCCTCCTGGGTTCAGGCAATTCTCCTGCCTCAGCCTCCTGAGTAGCTGGGATTACAGGCACACACCACCATGCCCAGCTAATTTTTTGTATTTTTAGTAGAGACGGGGTTTCACCATGTTGACCAGGATGGTCTCGATCTCTTGACCTCGTGATCCACCCGCCTCGGCCTCCCAAAGTGCTGGGATTACAGGCTTGAGCCACCGCGCCCGGCTTTATTCCCATTTTTTTATTCAACAGTTAACATTTGAAATTTATTGATATAAATGCCATAATTCACTTATTTGAAGCACTATATACTTACAACTTATCAATTTTAAGATCTTTTAAAAAATATTTTAACCATCTCTAAAATCAGAAAGCTTCTCACAATTGATGGCTTATTATAATTTTACTGACATAATTTTTTTATTAGTGGTACATAAAGTAATGGGCATTTTACAATTGATGACATTTCAACTTAGATCAGGCGTCAGTGAACTTTTTCTGCAAAGGGCTTGATAGTAAATATTTTATTTCAACACCGAGGGCCACACAGTCTTATAATGTAACTAATCAATTCTACAACTATATCATGAAAGCCAGCTATAGTTTATATATAAACAAATGAATGTAGTTATGTTCCAATAAAACTCTGTTTACAGAAACAGTGGGCAGGCCAGACACAGTGGCTCAAGCCTGTAATCCCAGCACTTTGGGAGGCTGAGGCAGGAGAACTGCTTGGGCCCAAGAATCTGAGACCAACCTGGGTAAGAAGGAGAGACCCTATCTCTACAAGACAAATAAACAAACAAATCAAGAGTGGGCTGTATTTTCTCCATGCTCTGGAGAAAACTATGCTGTAGCTTGCCGACTATGGAGTTAGATGAAATATGGTGGGTGTCCAGTGAATTTTCATTGCAGAGTTTTAAAAATCCATTTCTCAAGTGATGGACATAGAGATGACTTCAATTTGCACTTTTAAATTGCTCCAGTGAATTTTTTTCTGAAAGTCTCTTTCTGCACATGTGTCTTAAGTTTTCAGCGTATTTTGTCTCTTTTACTAATAAATCAGGCAAACAAAGCTTTATGTTATGTAAGGTCAAATATAAATGATATTTATCTACCTGTGTCTCTAACAGTTTATGCAAGATCTGCATTAGTAGAATGAAAGAAAATACGTTATGTATGGCCAAGCCGCTTTTTTTTTTCAGCTTTCTTATCAATGTGGATTTGTGGTTTTTCACATAATTGACTCACAGTTACAGGGATTGAAGTCTGTCATGAAAGGAGTCAAAACAGTGTGACTGGCCTGCCTCATGTAAGAACAGCTGTAGTCACTCCGGACAAGGTACATTTTTATCACTGGGTTTGATTCCCATGAACAAGTAAGACTGTGAGGCGATAAGAGAGCAACAGTAATTCATTTCTGGAATAGGTAGTCATGGAAATAAATATTGATTTTGGTACTTCCTTTCTTTTCCTGAAGAAAAGGAAGTCATTCATAGTGTTGTACAATATTTAACATCTTTTAAAAGTGAGAAAATGATATAGTATTTGTTTACCTGCAAGTTATAACGTAAAGTCTATAATAAGAACAGTTTTGTATAATGCTTTCTACACATGAATATGTAGAAGTCTAAATGTATGCATAAACCCATACATACAGGTTTTTGCTGAGTTTCATTCATTTTAGCTATTTATTTTGCTATTGGTATATATGGAGAAAAGTTAAAGAAAAAAAAAAAAAGACAAACAACCAAAAAAGAACGCCTGAAATCAGAACTCAGCCAATAGTGATTGTTTCTTTAGGGACGAATGAAGTAATCCTGCAACACAGCCCATCAACCACTTAAATATACGGCAGGCAGAGAAACAAAAGCAAAGGCTACGTAACGCCATGAAATTGCTTCACTGTCAATTTTGAATTTACATCAAAATGAAGACAGGTGGATTGTCTTAATGCTACAGGACCTCATTGCTGGTTTTCCTCATTCTAAAATGAAATGTTGGCCGGGTGTGGTAGCTCATGCCTGTAATTCTAGCACTTAGGGAAGCTGATGCAGGTGGATTGCTTAGCTCAGGAGTTCAAGACCAGCCTGGGCAACATGGTGAAACCCCGTCTCTACCAAAACATACAAGAATTTGCCGGGTGTGGTGGCTCATGCTTGTAATCCTAGCATTTTGGGAAGCTGACGTAGGCAGATCCCTTGAGCTCAGGAGTTCAAGACCAGCCAGGGCAACATGGTGAAACTCTTGTTTCTACAAAAACATACAAAAATTAGCTGGGCATGGTGGCACATGCCTGTAGTCCCAGCTACCTGGGAGGCTGAGGTGAGAGGATTCCTTGAGCTGGGGAGGCAGAGGTTGCAGTGCGCCAAGATCACGCCACTGCACTCCAATCTGGGTAAAAGAGCGAGAGACCCTGTCTCAAAGAAAAAAAAAGTGAAGTGAAATGTTTTAGAACACTGTGAAGAACAAATACCTAAAGGTATCTGTATAAAGATAATTTTTAAAAAGGATATATGCAATGAATAATTGTACCTAGTAAAGCTGGCTTTGAAATGACATTTAATGGGTAGATTTTTCCCCTTGGTTCCCTTTTCTAAAAGGCAGAGATATCCTCAGATGTCAAAGAATCCTAAGCTAAGCTATGCATTTCAGAACGGCAGAGTTGATCTCTTTGTGGAAAGGTAGGAAGGTTAAGTGAAGCTGAGATAAAAGGGAACCAGAAGTGCAGAACCTGAAGAACACAGGAAAAGGAGAGGTCAGTCCAAGCTCCAAGAGCGCTGCTGTTGTGTTGGGATCCCCAGCATAAATCCACAGTTGGCGAGCACTGTAGGTGGAGACAACCATGGACTGGGGGTTTGTCTGAGCCAAGTCCATGGTTGGAAAGGTGACAGTCGAGGTACTGCTATCAAGTAATTTTGTATTTCTAGAACCTAGGACATTGTGGGCATTCAAAAAAAAAGAAAAGATGTTTGCTAAATAGAATGAATGAAGGCATTAAGCCTGGTATTCCTGATTTTTAATTTTATAATTAACTTATTCTTAATTGTAATTAATTCTTACTAGGATCCTTTGATTGTAAGTCTTCAGACAATGGGCACTCAATTCCACACTCCTACACCCATTTCCCTGAGTTTCTTTTTTTTTTTGACACAGGGTCTTAGTCTGCCACCTAGACTGGTGGCTGAGGTGGCATGATCATAGCTCACTGTACCCTTGAACTCCTGGACTCCAGTGATCCTCCCACTCAGCCTCCTGAGTAGCTAGGATTACAGGTACACGCCACCATGCCTGCCTAACTTTTTAATTTTTTGTAGAGATGAGGTTTTACTTTGTTGCCCAGGCTTATCTTGAACTCCTGGCTTTAAGTGATCCTGCCCCAGTCTCCCAAAGTCCTAGGATTACAGACATGAACCACCACGGCTGGCCGAGTTTCATATTTTCAGTGCTACACAAAGTGGCTAGTGACTATCAGGGAATCTGGGTAATCATTAAAAACACATAGATATAAATGTCTCTGTTATTTCCTCTAAGTTCAAGAGCAGGGCATTCTAAAGCATTGCCTACAATTAAAATTTTCAGTGGGAGGCCACTGATAAATGTGTAGGATGCTGGTGACCCAAAGAACAATAGTATTTCTTTTGACCCTAAAACGCATCTAGGTAAGTTGGAAAAGTGAAGGAAAGACCCTTACTGCAATATT